CCCTGGCGGTCGCGCTCACAGCAGCGCCCCAGGGACCAAGCGTGACGGGCTGGGTAACGTGGAGGTTCCAGGCAGGACCATGGCACCTTGTGACTTTCGTCTGAGCTGGGGTTTTTCAGATGCCCACCGACTTGGACTCTATGAACGAGGAAGAGCGAGGACGCGATGGGCGCTGGTGCACCCGGAGGAAACTGCCAATGGGTCTTGCTCCTCCTTCTGGGCAGAGCGACCAGGCATGCGCGGGACAGGCCCATCCGGGGCGACCTTTCAAAGCCACCGCCACCTGGTGGCCACTTTCGTCTGAGCTGGGGTTTTTCAGATGCCCACCGACTTGGACTCTATGAACGAGGAAGAGCGAGGACGCGATGGGCGCTGGTGCACCCGGAGGAAACTGCCAATGGGTCTTGCTCCTCCTTCTGGGCAGAGCGACCAGGCATGCGCGGGACAGGCCCATCCGGGGCGACCTTTCAAAGCCACCGCCACCTGGTGGCCACAGTGAGAACTACAGCCTTCGGACGCGAGCAGGGAGGTAGGTGACTTACTGAGCCAGGCCCTGCAGGTACAGTGGACGAACAAGTGCGCTGTGTCCTCATCCATCGGGCGTTCTCCCTGCGGAACAACGTCCTAGGCAGGCTTGGTGCAGGATGAGGGTGTGGGCATGTGCAGCCTCTGCTCGGAGTGGAAATGTCAGTGTCGGGGATGGAGTGATTCTCAAGTCTGGGTGAAAATTAGAAGCACCTGAAAGATTCTAAAAAGTCTAGTAAATCGACGCCACCCCTCCAGAGAATGATGACATCAGCCCTTTATGGAGGGCCTGGCACATGTGTGGGCATCGGAGCCAAAGTACCACCCGACTGGCTGAGCCTGGGCAGCTTCTCGGTTATCTGATGGGCTGCGCCGAGCTCTCGTGCCTATATCAGACGCAAGGGAGGCCGGGAAGGTGGGATTCAGGCTTCTTCTGGTGCAAACGCACAGGGTGGGAAGTTGTTCAAACACACCTGGTGCGGTGGCACACACTTGTAATCCCAGCAGTCTGGGAGGCTGAGGCAGAGGATCGCAAATTTGAGGCCACCCTGAGCAGTTTAGGGACCTATCGGGACCTAAGGGGTGGGGGTGAAACGCGCGGTATTCAGGCTGAAGCTCGGTCTCCAGTACCGCAGAGGACCGCCGGGCCTCTGCTCATCTGCGGGAGCGGGACACGCGGGTTTGTGATGCGTCTGCCGGGCCGGGCCGGCACCGCGTGGCCCAGGGTTCTCGTCCTCCAGGGCTTCGGAGAGTGGCAAACAGTACGGTGAGTCTCTGCGGCGCCGGAGTTCATCAGCTGCTCAGGGTCTCGTCTCGCTAAGTAGCTCAGGCTGGCCCTGAACTCACTATGCTGACATAGAATTTGCAGCAATCCTCTCGTCTCAGCCTCCGAACTGCTGGGATTACAGCACGTGCCACGAGGCCTGGCTGAGTTTTAAAATTAGCGTTTGACCATAGCCGATTATCACCACTCTCCAGTGGACTTCTGGATATAGAAATAAATCCCAACATTTCCCCAATTTACAGCGGCTCACGTTTAAAATTGGGCAGAGTGCAGGGACCTGTGTCTCTGGCTGGATTGTCCTCTGAGTCATCAGCGTCCCTGTGCCTTCGGTGCAGATGCCATGAGTCAACTGAGACCGGTCACTGTGGCCGGTGACCTTGCCCTTGTCTTGGGTCTGTACCCCCACAGAAGTCTTGCTTTACCGCTGGTGGCCTGGTCCCACTGGCGGCCTCTGCCGGGGACTCGGGTGCGCTGCGGGCTGCGGGGTCGTACTGCCCTCTGGTGGCTACGGATGGGCACAGCCCCTTGAGCTGAGTTTGCCGGGGAAATGAACCGTCCCGTACTTTAGACTCGGTTTCTCTTGTACCAGAGTGGAACTATGGGCTCACGCAGCAGCATGATGCCCCTCAGAAACGCGCAGAGCGAAGAAAGCCAGGACCGAAGGGCACCTGTACGAGCGCTTGCAGACGAAGTTCTGGATGGGGCCTGGGGAATGATCTTGGTGACAGCCCAGTCTAGGGACTCGGCTGTAGGGGGAGGGGCACCTGGGAGTGGGCCTTGGGAGCCGAGAGGGTTTTCTGTCCTGATCTGGGTGGTGTCATCACCTCAGTGGAATCACATGTAAAAATGCCTCACGGTGTATGCTTGAGATTTGAGACTGGGCAATAAATCTTATGTCGTGCCGGGCGTGGTGGCGCACTC